ACCCATGCTGTCTTCCCCACCACCCATGCTGTCTTCCCCACCACCCCAGCTGTCTTCCCCACCACCCACACTTCTTCCCCACCACCCCACTGTCTTCCCCACCACCCAGCTGTCTTCCCCACCACCCACACTGTCTTCCCCACCACCCACACTGTCTTCCCCACCACCCACACTGTCTTCCCCACCACCCACAACTGTTTTCCCCACCCCGTCCCCACCACCCATGCTGTCTTCCCCACCACCCATGCTGTCTTCCCCCCCACGACCCACACTGTCTTCCCCACCACCCACACTGTCTTCCCCACCACCCATTCTGTCTTCCCCACCACCCACACTGTCTTCCCCACCACCCATGCTGTCTTCCCCACCACCCATACTCTCTTCCCCACCCCACCACCCACAGTCTTCCCCACCACCCATGCTGTCTTCCTCCCACCACCCACACTGTCTTCCCCACCACCCACGCTGTCTTCCCCACCACCCACGCTTGTCTTCCCCACCACCCACGCTATCTTCCCCACCACCCACACTGTCTTCCCCACCACCCACACTGTTTTCCCCACCACCCACGCTGTCCTCCCCACCACCATGCTGTCTTCCCCACCACCCATGCTGTCTTCCCCACCACCCACGCTGTCTTCCCCACCACTCACGCTATCTTCCCCACCACCCATGCTGTCTTCCCCACCACCCCCCTCTGTCTTTCCCCACCACCCATGCTGTCTTCCCCACCACCCATGCTGTCTTCCCCACCACCCACGCTGTCCTCCCCACCACCCACGCTGTCCTCCCCACCACCCATGCTGTCCTCCCCACCACCCACGCTGTCCTCCCCACCACCCACGCTGTCCTCCCCACCACCCATGCTGTCTTCCCCATCACCCATGCTGTCTTCCCCACCACCCCCTCTGTCTTCCCCACCACCCATGCTGTCCTCCCCACCACCCATGCTGTCTTCCCCACCACCCACGCTGTCCTCCCCACCACCCACGCTGTCCTCCCCACCACCCATGCTGTCTTCCCCATCACCCACGCTGTCCTCCCCACCACCCACGCTGTCCTCCCCACCACCCATGCTGTCTTCCCCACCACCCCCGCTGTCTTCTCTTTTCATTATCTTTATCTTGTATCCTGGGCATTGCTTTCGGTCACAAACTCGTGAAAAGCATGAAATTCGTCTTCACTGACACTTCCATCCGTGTTAAAACTAAGACTTGGGAAGAGTCCCAATTCACTGAGGAGTTAGGTATTTCCTATCGCTAGGCATGGTGAACCAAGCGTACTGAGTTGGCACTCCCACAATACACTGCGGCCTCCCAGATTTCTTTTATACTGCTCACACAGACCTATTCTCTAACATGTAGGTCTACCAGCTTTCTCCTGCTAGATCTGAAGTCGCTAGAATTTTGGTGTATTATTACGGCACCAACACTGGTTTGCAAGTCGTAATATTACGGCACCAACAGTGAAAGGGTTGAAACTATATTGGACTATGAAACAAATTCCAACCACACAACAGAGTGGAAAACTAATGTAAAGGACCTTCAAAGACCACAACATTGTATCACTCGCATCTGCCAGAAAAATGACAGGGTGGAAAATGAGAACCTTCAAATCTAGGAATGCCAAGCCCATGATGACTCTCTACAGATCGCTTGTTCTCTCTAGGCTGGAATATTGCCACACACTAACAGTGCTGTTCAAGGAAGGTGAAATTGCAGACCTGGAGAGTGTACAGAGAACCTTCACAGCACACATAAGCATGATAAAACACCCAAATTACTGGAAACGGTTGAAGTCCCTTGATTTGTATTCCCTGGAACACAGGCTAGAAAGATACATGATAATATACACTTGGAAAATCCTAGAAGGACTAGTCCCAAATCAGCACATGAAAATCACTCCCTATGAAAGCGAAAGACTCGGCAGGAGAAGCAGCATCCCCAAAATGAAGAGCGGGGATGCCAAGAGTATGCCAAGAAACAACACAATAAGTGTCAGGAACCCAAGATTGTTCAACTGCCTCCCAGCATACATAAGGGGGATTACCAATAGACCGCTAGCTGTTTTCAAGACCCCTGGCTGTCTTCAAGGGGGAGCTGGACAGGCACCTAAAGTCAGTACCTGACCAGCCAGGTGGTGGTTACTACACTGATTTACATGCAGCCAGCAGTAACAGCCTGGTTGATCAGGCCCTGATCCACCAGATGGCATGGTCACAGACTGGGTCACGGGGATGTTGACCCCTGAAACTTTCTGCGGGTATACTCCAGGTATACAGAGGAACTTTATACAAGAAGTGAGTGTATAAATCAATCAGACCAAAGAGACACCTCTCACGGGCCCAGAGTATGCTATGGAGAAGGAGCATAGACACAGGCGAGATTCCACAGTCACTAAAAACACCGGATATAGCCCCACTACATAAAGGTGGCAGCAAAGCAGTAGCTAAGAACTACAGACCAATAGCTTTAACGTTCCACACCATAAAAGTCTTTGACAGAGTTTTAAGCAGGATAGCAAACCACTTGGACTCCCAACAGTTGCACAATCCAGGGCAACATGGGTTCAGAGCAGGTCGCTCCTGCCTCTTGCAACTATTGGACCACTATGATATGGTCTTGGATGCACTGGAAAACAAACAGAATGCAGATGTAGTGTACACAGATTTAGTAAAAGCCTTTGACAAGTGCGATCATGGTATAATAGCACACAAAATGCATGCTAATGGGATAACTGGCAAAGTAGGCAGATGGATCTTCAACTTTCTAACAAATCAAACAAAGAGTAGTGGTAAACAGAGTTAAATCGGAAGCTACCATAGTGAAGAGGTCTGTTCCACACGGCACAGTACTCACACCTATCCTGTTTCTCATCCTCATATCAGACATAGACAGAGGCATAGACAGATGATACTAGGATCTGCATGAGAGTCATCCATTGAGGACACGGCAAAGCTCCAAGAAGATATAAACCAAGGTTTCCAGTGGGCAACAGAGAACAATATGATGTTTAATGAAGACAAATTCTAACTACTCTGTTATGGAAAACTGGAGGAAATAATAACTAGGACTGAGTATACTACAAACTCTAATTATTGGGTATGGGAGTAAATTCTTGGGTAACTTTGGGTAGAGATCATTTTGATAAGGACCTGCCTTGTATGGGCCAGTAGGCCTTCTGCAGTGTTCTTCCATTCTTATGTTCTTAACAGAGCAGAAAAGTAATGTGAAGGACCTGGGAGTGATAATGTCTGAAGACCTCACCTTCAAGGACCACAACAATGCCACTATCACATCTGCTAGGAAACTGATAGGATGGATAATGAGAACATTCAAGACAAGAGATGCTAAGCCAATGATGATCCTTTTTAAATCACTTGTTCTCTCTAAGCTGGAATACTGCTGTACATTAACATTCCCATTCAAGGTGAAATTGCTGATCTAGAGAATGTACAGAAAACCTTTACTGCACGTATAAGTTCCATCAAGCACCTTAAAGGCGAGAGAGATACATCACAATCTACACCTGGAAGATTCTGGAGGGACTGGTCCCTAATCTGCACACAGAAATCACTCCCTACGAAGCAAAAGACTTGGCAGGTAATGCAACATACCCCCAGTGAAAAGTAGGCCCTGTCAATAGTACACTAGGAGAAAACACATTAAGTGTTTGTGGTCCAAGACTGTTCAACAGCCTCCCACCAGCCATAAGGGGAATTACCAATAGACCCCTGGTTGTCTTCAAGACCCCTGGTTGTCTTCAAGACCCCTGGCTGTCTTCAAGACACCTGGTTGTCAAGACCCCTGGTTGTCTTCAAGACCCCTGGCTGTCTTCAAGACCCCTGGTTGTCTTAAAGACCCCTGGTTGTCTTCAAGACCCCTGGTTGCCTTCAAGACCCCTGGGTGTCAAGACCCCTGGCTGTCTTCAAGACCCCTGGTTGTCTTCAAGACCCCTGGTTGTCTTCAAGACCCCTAGTTGTCTTCAAGACCCCTGGGTGTCTTCAAGACCCCTGGGTGTCTTCAAGACCCCTGGTTGTCTTCAAGACCCCTGGCTGTCTTCAAGACCCCTGGCTGTTTTCAAGACCCCTGGTTGTCTTCAAGACCCCTGGTTGTCTTCAAGACCCCTGGCTGTTTTCAAGACCCCTGGTTGTCTTCAAGACCCCTGGTTGTCTTCAAGACCCCTGGTTGTCAAGACCCCTGTCTGTCTTCAAGACCCCTGGTTGTCTTCAAGACCCCTGGCTGTTTTCAAGACCCCTGGTTGTCTTCAAGACCCCTGGTTGTCTTCAAGACCCCTGGTTGTCTTCAAGACCCCTGGTGTCTTCAAGACCCCTGGTTGTCTTCAAGACCCCTGGTTGTCTTCAAGACACCTGGTTGTCAAGACCCCTGGCTGTCTTCAAGACCCCTGGTTGTCTTCAAGACACCTGGTTGTCAAGACCCCTGGCTGTCTTCAAGACCCCTGGTTGTCTTCAAGACCCCTGGCTGTTTTCAAGGCCCCTGGTTGTCTTCAAGACCCCTGGTTGTCTTCAAGACCCCTGGTTGTCTTCAAGACCCCTGGCTGTCTTCAAGACCCCTGGCTGTCTTCAAGAGGGAGCTGGACATATACCTAAAGTCAGTTCCGTATCAGCCGGACTATGTATGTTAGACTATGTGCAGCCAGCAGTAACAGCCTGGTTGATCAGGCCCTGATCCACCAGGCCGCCTGGTCATGGATCGGGCCGCAGGGGCGTTGCTCCCTGGAATACCCTCCAGGTAGGTAGCACCACAACATCTTATCTGGTCATCACCGGATAGTCACCAGGTCGTCACAAAGTCATCACCAGGTGGTCACGAGGTCGTCACCAGGTCATCACAGGGTCGTCACCAGGTCATCACCAGGTCAACACCAGGTCATCACTGGGACACCACCAGGTCAACACTGGGTCATCACCAGGTCTCCACTGGGTTGTCAAGTCGTCACCAGGTCATCAAGTCATCACCGGGTCATCATTAGGTCTTCACCTCTGTACATCTGTGCCAGACGGGTCAGCCTGGTGCCGCTGCCACTGCCGGGCAAGGACCTGGTGTCTCTGGGGTCGGCTAGGAGGCAGCTAGGTGCAGCGCTGCCTGGCGCTGTCTCCGACGATATGCATGGTTCAAGGTGACGGTGAAGCGGCGGTAGTGGGAACACCTCGCCGCCGCCGCCGCTGTTACACACACCATTTTCATTCTGATAGACAATATAATAAATACGCTGTAATAACATTATTCTTATTGTTACAATTATTATTACTACTGTTAATTACAATTATTATTGCTATTATTTTTATAATTATTACTGTTATTGTTACAGTCACTATCATAATTCATTTAACAATTATTATCACTATATATACAGTCAGTCCCCTTACAAACAACAGTGTTTGTCAGTGTAACAAACAACAGTGTCAGTGTAACAAACAACAGTGTTTGTCAGTGTAACAAACAACAGTGTCAGTGTAACAAACAACAGTGTTTGTCAGTGTAACAAACAACAGTGTCAGTGTAACAAACAACAGTGTTTGTCAGTGTAACAAACAACAGTGTCAGTGTAACAAACAACAGTGTTTGTCAGTGTAACAAACAACAGTGTCAGTGTAACAAACAAGTGTCTGTGTAACAACAGTGTTTGTAACAAAGCGTACCATCACTGACCGGTGTTTGTACGGTGGCTGGAGATGTGCCGCTGATGCGTACAGCGGTGCGTGTGGCAGTGTCGTCACGACTCAGTGCCAGGAAAAACGTGAGGATGCTCGTTTTGTTCTGCAACACCGCCTGGGGGGAAACAGCGGCTAACACAGCAGTAAAACATGTTTTAAAACGCAAATATTACTTTTTTAAAATGCACATATTAATCGTTTTAAAACAAATTCAGCCTCTCCTCACTTAACGACAGAGTTCCGTTCCTAAGACCACGTCAGTAAACGAATTCATCGCCAAGTGAGGAACACGCTATAGTGGTAGTGGGTTTGTGTCAACCATCTTTGATATTGTTTTAATGTCACCTTTGCACCATCTATAACATTTCTGCTATATTTTTAAATGTTTATACAGCAGTGTACAGGTCTCCCTCAACATTCACGAGGGTTGGGGATCAAGAACCTCACGAATGTTGAAAAATCGCGAATGTTTGGTGCCCCAATATACTGTAGGGAAATATAATACAATACTGTTTCCTTAACCAATTGAACCATGAACAATCATAAAACACATTAAAACATCGTAAAATATTGTACTAGTGCCAGCCCTTTGGTAAAGAAGGTGAGAAAAACTATAGAATTCAAGAACGAACTCATAGCATAGTACCAAAGTGGAGGAGGAAGAGAGAGGGTAGATGCGCCTCCTCCAGTGATTCTACGATATGTACGATACTAAAGCAGAACAAGTCGATTAAGGCTATAGCGCCAGCCAGTGATAAAGTGTAGCATTAACAATGTAGCAAGTAAGTGAAGCGATTAATCAATAGAAAAAGGACAGCACGAACCAAACTCCTCCGATGTTGTTGGAGTTATATAGGGCGACTGATAACACCGCCACCTCTAGTCTCTACTGCCACCTCCACCACCATTATGTACGGCTTATGCTTCAGTGGCCCTTATTCACTCAACAACAACAACACAGCAAAACTCATGACATATTTAATGATGTATTTTATTCATTCTAGAGTATATGTCATGTTTCTATGTTATTAATATTGTTTATTATGCATATTAGATGAACTGGTGATAAATAAATAAACCGTAGAGTTTATATTAGTGTCATATTGAAGGACTATCTTGTCCTATCTCCAAACAAACTATGCCACTGCCACAATTTCTAACATATGTAATGGCACATTTAAATATGATTGTGCAGCTGGGAATTCACGAATGTTCGAAGCCCGCGAAAGTGGAAAACGCGTATGTTGAGGGAGACCTGTACTGGATATTGTAATAAACAGAACAGAGGAAATCAGCTCTAATATATACATTATTTAGGTATGCAAACTGGTCAGAGAGCCTGTCATAAGTCCGAGTCATAGGTAAACAAGTACGTCGTTAAGTGAGGAAAGGCTGTATTACTTGTTTTAAAACACATATACAGCCTCTCCTCACTTACCGACGTACTCGTTTACCGACAACTCGCAGTTACGACGGGTTCTCCAATGAGTCAGTATTTTATGCCATATGAGAACTTGGGTCATGGAAACTGGTGGCACCAGCAATGACAGTGCTGTGAGGTGGTGGCACCAGCGATGACAGTGCTGTCAGGTGGTGGCACCAGTGATGACTACTGTCAGGTGGCGGCACCAGTGATGACAATACTGTCAGGTGGTGGCACCAGTGATGACAGTGCCATCAGATTCCAGCACAAGTGACAGCAGTGCCATCAGATGACAGCACAAGCAACAGCAGTGCCATCAGATGACAGCACCAATGACAGCAGTGTCATCAGATGACAGCACCAGTGAAGGCAGTGCCATCAGATGACAGCACCAGTGACAGCAGTGCCATCAGATGACAGCACCAGTGAAGCCAGTGTCATCAGATAACAGCACAAGCAACAGCAGTGCCATCAGATGACAGCACCAATGACAGCAGTGCCATCAGATGAGAGCACAAGCAACATCAGTGCCATCAGATGACAGCAGTGTCATCATATGACAGCACCAGTGAAGGCAGTGCCATCAGATGACAGCATCAGTGACAGCAGTACCATCAGATAACAGCACCAGTGAGAGCGGCGCTATCAGATGATAGTGCCATTGAAGGCAGTGCCATCAGATGACAGCAGTAGCACAAGTGATGACATTGCTGTCAGGTGGTGGCACCAGTGACAACAGTGCCATCAGATGACAGCACCAGCAATGGCAGCACCATTAGACAACAGCAGCGGCACCAGCAATGACAGCGCCATCAGACAACAGCAGCAGTGCCAGTGATGACAGTGCCAACAGCAGCGGCACCAGCGATGACAGCACCATCAGAAGACAGCAGCGGCACCAGTGATGACAGTACCAACAGCAGTGGCACCAGCGATGACAGGGCCATCAGACGGCAGCAGCGACACCAGTGATGATAGTGCCAACAGCAGCGGCACCAGTGATGACACTGGAATCACTCACCGATCTCAAGAGACGGTTAACAAGGGCGGTGAAGCGAGCAGCATCATCAAGGCGCTTCTCTCGGGCCAGTCGTCGCTTGATCTTGTCCGCCACAGTGTTGTGATCATTGTTGAGCGGCGGCAGCAGTGACGGCACCTCATTAAGTAAACCTAACGCAAGCTGGAAGTGTTGTACCAGTCGATCTGTAAACAACATTATTACTGTTATCATTACTACTGATATAATTATTAGTCATTATTATTACTATTACTATTGATATTATTATTACTGTTATTACTATTGATATTATTACTATTCATATTATTTTTACTATTGATATCATCATTACTGTTACTATTATTAATACGACTAGTATTAATACAATGTTTCTAGAGGTAAAGAATAACTGGTAGATGATGTACAAGGAGCATATGAGAGAGAGAGAGAGAGAGAGAGAGAGAGAGAGAGAGAGAGAGAGAGAGAGAGAGAAGAGAGAGAGAGAGAGAGAAGAGAGACAGAGAGAGACAGAGAGAGACAGAGAGAGACAGAGAGAGACAGAGAGAGACAGAGACAGAGAGAGACAAGAGAGAGAGACACAAGAGAGAGAGACAAGAGAGACAGACAAGAGAGACAGAGACAGAGAGAGACAGAGACAGAGAGGGAGCTGAGGGTTTATAAACCAGAGAGAGAGCTGAGGGTTTATAAACCAGAGAGAGAGCTGAGGGTTTATAAACCAGAGAGAGAGCTGAGGGTTTATAAACCAGAGAGAGAGCTGAGGGTTTATAAACCAGAGAGAGAGCTGAGGGTTTATAAACCAGAGAGAGAGCTGAGGGTTTATAAACCAGAGAGAGAGCTGAGGGTTTTATAAACCAGAGAGAGAGCTGAGGGTTTATAAACCAGAGAGAGAGCTGAGGGTTTATAAACCAGAGAGAGAGCTGAGGGTTTATAAACCAGAGAGAGAGCTGAGGGTTTATAAACCAGAGAGAGAGCTGAGGGTTTATAAACCAGAGAGAGAGCTGAGGGTTTATAAACCAGAGAGAGAGCTGAGGGTTTATAAACCAGAGAGAGAGCTGAGGGTTTATAAACCAGAGAGAGAGCTGAGGGTTTATAAACCAGAGAGAGAGCTGAGGGTTTATAAACCAGAGAGCTGAGGGTTTATAAACCAGAGAGAGAGCTGAGGGTTTATAAACCAGAGAGAGAGCTGAGGGTTTATAAACCAGAGAGAGAGCTGAGGGTTTATAAACTAGAGAGAGAGCTGAGGGTTTATAAACCAGAGAGAGAGCTGAGGGTTTATAAACCAGAGAGAGAGCTGAGGGTTTATAAACCAGAGAGAGAGCTGAGGGTATATAAACCAGAGAGAGAGCTGAGGGTATATAAACCAGAGAGAGAGCTGAGGGTTTATAAACCAGAGAGAGAGCTGAGGGTTTATAAACCAGAGAGAGAGCTGAGGGTTTATAAACCAGAGAGAGAGCTGAGGGTATATAAACCAGAGAGAGAGCTGAGGGTATATAAACCAGAGAGAGAGCTGAGGGTATATAAACCAGAGAGAGAGCTGAGGGTTTATAAACCAGAGAGAGAGCTGAGGGTTTATAAACCAGAGAGAGAGCTGAGGGTTTATAAACCAGAGAGAGAGCTGAGGGTATATAAACCAGAGAGAGCTGAGGGTTTATAAACCAGAGAGAGAGCTGAGGGTATATAAACCAGAGAGAGAGCTGAGGGTTTATAAACCAGAGAGAGAGCTGAGGGTTTACAAACCAGAGAGAGAGCTGAGGGTTTATAAACCAGAGAGAGAGCTGAGGGTTTACAAACCAGAGAGCTGAGGGTATATAAACCAGAGAGAGAGCTGAGGGTTTATAAACCAGAGAGAGAGCTGAGGGTTTATAAACCAGAGAGAGAGCTGAGGGTTTATAAACCAGAGAGAGAGCTGAGGGTTTATAAACCAGAGAGAGAGCTGAGGGTTTATAAACCAGAGAGAGAGCTGAGGGTTTATAAACCAGAGAGAGAGCTGAGGGTTTATAAACCAGAGAGAGAGCTGAGGGTTTATAAACCAGAGAGAGAGCTGAGGGTTTATAAACCAGAGAGAGAGCTGAGGGTTTACAAACCAGAGAGAGAGCTGAGGGTATAAAACCAGAGAGAGAGCTGAGGGTTTATAAACCAGAGAGAGAGCTGAGGGTTTATAAACCAGAGAGAGAGCTGAGGGTTTATAAACCAGAGAGAGAGCTGAGGGTTTATAAACCAGAGAGAGAGCTGAGGGTTTATAAACCAGAGAGAGAGAGCTGAGGGTTTATAAACCAGAGAGAGAGCTGAGGGTTTACAAACCAGAGAGAGAGCTGAGGGTATATAAACCAGAGAGAGAGCTGAGGGTTTATAAACCAGAGAGAGAGCTGAGGGTATATAAACCAGAGAGAGAGCTGAGGGTTTATAAACCAGAGAGAGAGCTGAGGGTTTATAAACCAGAGAGAGAGCTGAGGGTATATAAACCAGAGAGAGAGCTGAGGGTATATAAACCAGAGAGAGAGCTGAGGGTTTATAAACCAGAGAGAGAGCTGAGGGTTTATAAACCAGAGAGAGAGCTGAGGGTATATAAACCAGAGAGAGAGCTGAGGGTATATAAACCAGAGAGAGAGCTGAGGGTATATAAACCAGAGAGAGAGCTGAGGGTTTATAAACCAGAGAGAGAGCTGAGGGTTTATAAACTAGAGAGAGAGCTGAGGGTTTATAAACCAGAGAGAGAGCTGAGGGTTTATAAACCAGAGAGAGAGCTGAGGGTTTATAAACTAGAGAGAGAGCTGAGGGTTTATAAACTAGAGGAGGAGGGGGTAGTTAGACTAACACATAAACAACTATTAATAGAACGATGGGCTAGAGGAGAGGTAATGAGGTCGAGGAGGTATGGGGGTAGATTTAGAAATAGTATTAGAATGTTCGGTGGAAAAAAACCATACCACGGGTGGTATTTTTTTTTTTTTAATATTTTTGAGTGTCTGGAATGGATTAATTGAATTTACATTATTTCTCATGGGAAATATTAACAAAAATTACAGGTTCTACTGTAATAGGGTGGGTGTGGGAGGGAAAACCCAGGTTCCACTGTAATAGGGTGGGTGCGGTAGGGAAAACCCAGGTTCCACTGTAACAGGGTGGGTGTGGGAGGGAAAACCCAGGTTCCACTGTAATAGGGTGGGTGCGGGAGGGAAAACCCAGGTTCCACTGTAATAGGGTGGGTGTGGGAGGGAAAACCCAGGTTCCACTGTAACAGGGTGGGTGTGGGAGGGAAAACCCAGGTTCTACTGTAATAGGGTGGGTGCGGGAGGGAAAACCCAGGTTCCACTGTAATAGGGTGGGTGCGGGAGGGATAAAACAGGTTCTACTGTAATAGGGTGGGTGTGGGAGGGAAAACCCAGGTTCCACTGTAATAGGGTGGGTGTGGGAGGGAAAACCCAGGTTCCACTGTAATAGGGTGGGTGTGGGAGGGAAGTGGAGTGACTGGTGGAATGATGAGGTAAAGAGAGCAGTAAGAGTGAAGAGGTTAGCATATGAGAGGTTTGTACAAAGTGATACAAGGAGGGACGAATACACCTACCATCCGACTTACGACCTGCTCGACTTACGACCACTTGACTTACGACCGTGTTTTTTATGCCAAATTTCTGGGAAATAAACCAGTATTTGTGTTGTACACAGTGTTTATCCTAAACCTTACAGTATAAAATACTAACAGCATAAAAAGTAAAGTAAAACATGAAATACCAAAATAAAACAATAAAATAAAGTCATTACAAAAATGTTTTGTTGATATTCAGTAGTAAAGTTCAACTTACGACCATTTCGACTTACGACCGGTTTCTCGGAACCGAACTCGGTTGTATGTCGGATGGTAGGTGTATATGGAGAGAAAAAGAGAAGTTAAGAGAGTGGCAAAGGAGTAAAACGAGAGCAAATAAGAAAGTGGGAGGGATACTATCAACAAATTTTGTTGAGAGCAAAAAAAATTTTTGGAGATTAATAATTTGTGAAAGCCTAGGGACCATATGGCTTTAACAGTTTATTTCAGGATTTCAGCATGATACAATGTCTGTACAAAGGTGAATGACATTGAGGTATGCATGCATAAAGCACATGAATATGCGGAGCATTTCCTGCAAACTTAAAAATAAACTTAACCCTTTCAGGGTCCAGATCCCTGATCTGAAACTTGTCCGCAGGCTCTAAGAATTTTCAAAAAAAAATTTTTGTTAGTTTTTCTTATGAAATGGTAGAGAATCTTTTTCTGAAGGTAATAAAACAAAAAGTATGAAATTTGATGGAAAACTGACTAAATTACACCATTGCAAATTTTGCTGCATCAGCAATATTTATGCATCTGTCAGTTTGCCCACTTTGACTCCCATTTTAGGCCAATTACATTATTCCAGTCGCCCAAATTCTTAGCTATTTCGCTAGTATTAGTTCTATTTTATCGACTGAACACAAGAAATTGCCCAGTCAACTGTTTCAACTACCCAATAAAGTGATTGGAAATTGGTAATTTGGCAAATTTCACACAAAGTTCAAAATATTCCAATTTCAAAATAGGCTCCACAATAAACAATGCAGACATTCCTGGCACTAAAATAACATTTCCTCTGTTCATTAGTTACATTTCCAGACTTTACAAATAAATTCCATTTTGATTTTTTATTCACATAATGAATTTTTATTCACACCAAAAAATAGAAGATTTTCTGTTATGCAATATTGTAATATTTGTATAAATAATATCAACATATTCATGAATACACATTAGATCCACCAGCTGATGTGTACTGGATGCGTGATGTCATTTGTTTACTCTTGAACATCGACAAAAATCGAACATTTCCGTTACTTTGAGCTCAGTTTCAAGCCATTTTCAGTACTAAAACCAATCAAAATCATCTCTACTTCTGTAATACTATATCTTCCATTCTATCAACTGAGACCAAGAAACCGTGAATACAACTGTAATAAAATACAAAAAACACTGCAAAATTGCTGTTTTAATCCAAAAATACGGTCGCAGTTTTTTTCCTCATTATGCACTGTGTGCTGCAGGATTTGTTTTGTGTAGTGCACACTTACCACATAGATGTGTTCTCTCATATCTAGGCCCAAATTTACCGCTCACAGCTTATCTGAGTGAGCTGAGCTCATGGTGCAGAACTACGGCTTGGACACTGGCTTC